ACCGTCTGTATACAGAGACTATACAGGTATACAGAGACAAGTACATTGACCGACCACGACCGTGTATACAGAGACTTACACCTGTATATTGCAGGTGTATAGTATTTTCCCTAAATGCCCCCTTACTGACAGTGGTGAAGCAGTCACAAGATCCCCCTCCTTCTGGGGAGGGTTGTATCTGATCACGTGAAATCTTTGCTACTGCTTTGTTTACCATTAGGCTAGAGTTTTTTGAATGTAAGTGCATTGTTTTTCTGTTAAAATTAAGCTACTTATTCTGTCGATTTTTGCTTGATTCCTCTTTCTTTTTAAATTTTCGAAAAATATATTTTACACAATATTAAAGCATTTTCAAAATTAAAAAAAAAATGCACATTATTTGACATAAATTTTTTAAACACAACTTCTGGTGATCAGCCGCGCAAATAAACGGCTTCATTTTTTTCTATGACGCAATAACTTATATTTTTAATTTCTCGTGTTTTAGATCGTTTAACATTGATTTTTCTTTTAATTATTTAATGAATCAAGGTATGCAGCTATTTATCTTAAGCAAACGGACAAATCTTAAATACCTTATACGGAAGTACGATTATTGCAAAATAAGCTTTTAGTCAAACAGTTTCTTTTTAGCTGGTTTTTATTGCTATATTCCCTCAATCTTCGTCATCCTTTATTCAGTGACATTGTACTGTTGTAGTAAAACTGTTCTTATCTCCCAACCCTTCCCTAATATCTTTAAGCATGCGTATTTGTTCTTGCTTGGTCAAAATATGTTAACTGAAAAAAGGTATTGAAGATCTGTATGAATTTATATGATGAAAATTGATACTTGGATACTCAGAATTTATGTAAAACGTATGAACCGTAGACACCTTTTCTAACAATATTTGGCCTGGTGATACATGTATATTGTTAACTTAGAAAAGGCACTGAAGATCTGTATGAATTCAATTTTACATGATGAAAATATAATATTTGGATACTCAGGGTTTATGTGAAACGTATGTACTTTAGGCATCTTTTCTAAAAATATTTGTGGCCCTGAAAAGGGCCGTGGGTGCAATTTACTGCCTTGGGTGTGGTTGTACATCAGAACTCGCTTGACATACTGGGATCATCGCTGGATCTATCCCCCATATCGCCCAATTCGCCTTCCTCACGGAAATTACGCAGTATCAAGTCAAACATTTCCGTCCTCTTGTGCAGCACAAACTCCGCGTAGTATCGAGCCACCCCCACATAAATCTGCAGTCTCATTCGGAGCGTATGTTGTAGGGCAGGGGACTGCGCCCTCTTAATTCGCCTCTCAGTACACCTAATCTTGGAGTGAATATGTTCGTAATTATCGAGGGCTGTCAACATCTCTAGTCTTAGTTGCCTGATTTGTCCAATGACAGGGTGCCTGGATTCTCGGAGATGACTCCGTGATGGGGAGGGATAGTACCTGGATCGTGTCCGCATTGTGTCGTTGGTCTGGTTGAAATAGGTGTATGTTACAATAGATACCCCTGCTTTGCCCCAATGACACGTGATACAGTCGACTCTACCCATTGGACTAAGGTATTCTCGCTAATTGTAAATGGAAGGTCACGTGATCACGACACCTCTCAAAAACAACTGACAGATTTATACAAAATGCGAAATGAATATAATCAAGATAAAAGTAAAATGTGTACATATTTTCTCGAATTATGTATTCAAATTTAAAAAAATATTATATAGCTTATTTAAAACAGCGAGAATGTTTGCAAACTGTTTAACAAAATTGACTACTTTGCTATCTTTTTTTTCTTTTACAATGTACTCCTCACACTGTAATAAGATTCAATTATTTAATATTTAGTAAGTTAGTTACTTAGTTAATTGGTTATCATTTATTTTTATGAATTCATATATTATTGTGTAATAATATTGGAAATGCTTTAATATAATTATGTTCTAATTTATTTATTTTTATCTTTTGCTTCTTATTGTAAGATTATGTTACATTTTCTATATACTGAGTACACGTATTATACTGCTTTACCAGCGTGTACTTTGATTTCTTGAGTTAAACAAATGAGTAAACTTTCTGTTAAACAACTGATAATTTAGTTCAAACCATATTTAATTTGAGATTTACAAGCATACAGTACAGATATATAGTGAAGATCGAACAAGGTTCGGAAACAAGTTTGAAAAATTATGTTTATCCGTCTCCTGATAATTTGTTGAAGTAACAGATCCTTATTGGGTAATACAGAATAGTGCGCTAACGCTTGAGATGATTATAATTAAAAGATAGAGTTTGAACCTCTAGATGCATGTTGAAATTAGAAAATTTTTGATGATTCAGTAAAAGAAAATGTTAATATCATATAAAAAATACGTCTACTCGAAGCTACATGTCATAGCAGACTGGATTTTTTTTTCAGTAATAATATTCCTTTTCCCATCATTGGTAAAGGCAATTCAACTTTGCTTGGTGGAAATCGTTTGATGAAAGGAAGGGGTGTGTTTTTGGTCAGAAAACAGTAGCCTGTCAAGATGCGTATGGGGGGGGGGTTTATTCTAAGTGTTTTTCTAATGATTCCGGGGGGGGAGCATTTCCTTACTTCAAAACCGTCGAATAGGGCCCTACCTTAAAAATCAACCGCCTCAATTTAAATTTCATCAGTCCTGTTGCAATTTGAAAGTTATGTAGAAAACGAATTATCAAACAAAAATGTTAATAAAATAGATCTAGATACCCGTACAAAAAAGAACAGTTTTGAAGCAGATCAAAGCTAAATTTTGTACGATGTCTATACCTATGTTTTTAAATCTGATCTCACTACAAACATTCACACTATTTCTTTTATGGAGAATTCATTAAGAAGTCCTATTTCTCGATTTAAGGACCGTGTAATAAACACGGAGAAAAGATGGCCATTCCGAGTTTAATTTCGTTTGTAATAATTTCAGTGTCCACATAAAAGGACTCATTCGGACACAGTGAACACGTGTAATACAAATTTGTCTGTGTGTCCAATGACCACCTGATCTTATTTAAACAGGTGCGAGGAACAGAGCATCATGTCGCGATACCCCGAGCCCGATTTTATTTATGCGTGTAATAGATTTTTAGTTCTTATTCAATTAAACTCTTTGATGATTGCCTTGTTAATCTATTTAGTTAGGATAAAATGTATGCAAGTTTTAGTGTTCAACAAGGCTTTAAAAGTGCTGCTTATTCCGAGTCATGCTTTAATCGTATTTAAATTCCTTCATTCTAAACTGAATCGTGGCGTCAACAATAACAAGGATTCCTACCATAAACAGCGGGGGTTTCCTTTGGATTTTATTATCTAGTTAAAGATCAATTATGGCTGTTTAAGAAGCATAAAATAAAATAACCAGAAATGACTCCGAGATCGCTAGGATCTTCTGAACACGTACTGACTTTTTTTCGGAAAGTTTTTTTTTCACTGTTTATTAAATATATTTTTAAATTTTAAAAGTAATCGCGGGTTATTTATTATTCGTGAAATAGTTATATCAAACAAAACGAAACGAAAAAATTCTTTCATCTTATTTTTGACAAACTGTGATCGGATGCGGCCAATCACAGCTGATTACAACCTGCCAACGTAACCACTTCCCAAACAATTCCAGACGAACTACTTTTATAATAATGCTTATAATTTTTCATTATCATTAAGTGTTTGATTTATATTAAGGGTTTTTTTTTTCAATACATTTATTTTGTTGTAAGAATACTATCTAAAATTGATATTTCAAAAATTTTATAGAGCTTTCATGAAAATTTCTTCTAGTTTTGCAGCAGGAGATGACACGCATGGATAAAGGTATACTATTATAAAATTCATTCTTTAAAACTGAGTGATGAATTTGTAATTATCTAATTCATTTTTAATAATCATGAAATACAAAGTTAACTCTTACGGATAGGTTATGATTATATACCTGCTCCATCAGTACAAAAAGGAGTTGCTTTATATTTGTGTGTGAAACCAAATAAAATAGAGAAAAATTTTCAAAAAAGTTTTCTAGTGGGAATTTAAAAGTGTGTAACTTTGTACCTAAACAGAAGGAGAATGATAACGCACGAATATTATATCGGTTAAAGCACACAGGTCATTTTCAACCACTTCCTTTGTTGGAGCTCTTCAGAAATGTTAACAAATTTGGGTGTCATCCGGGAAGGAAACGCATCAGTGCAAATTGCAGTGGAAAATGCAAACCAACTTTTAAAAAAAAGAATTTAAAGGCATGCATATACATTATTTTAATTTTTTGAATTTTATTGAAACATTTCATATTTGTCATCTATCAAAAACGGCATAATTTATAAATGTTATTTTTTTTTTTCATATCAAAGTTCATTGTAGCGTTTAAATAGCGGATACGTACATGTTATCACAAATTTCCAATAAGATATGCAAAAAGCTTTGATTTAACTCTACCAAATTTTTAATCCAAAAATTGATTACTGTCAATGTTCATGTTATTTCAAATCTTTAGACAGAAAAATTTATTTCTGAATGTTCAGGGTGATAATTTTGGTAAGTTACATTTTTGTCCTTGGCGATCGTGCACAGGATGAAATTCGAAAGTGGCCCATTATGTTTCTATTTATAAGTTTGAAAACATATGATACATGTACATAATGATGTATTCTATATTTCCCTTTTACCACTCAGTACTTTTCGTTTCCCTTGCACTTTTGAAAGTAAATGTTAACACATTATAAGTGCTTGAAATCTATATAATCGACATAATTTGATACAAATATGTAAAAAAAAAAATTTAATTAATTTCTGTTCACCTTGTAAATTCAAAACTTTCAACATAATATATTATAATTACTCATTTCTATGTTATACACGGCAATATTTGCAAACAAAATCATTTGTTTTTAAATAATGCAAGTGGTGTCAAATGTTTAAATTACGCATTGAAAAATTCAATAAATAAATACTTAAAATAAAATAAATGAATTAATAATGAAACATTCATTTAAAATAATTCAACACTTTTATTAACCATCAGGCCAAGCATGCAAAAATAAGAAACATTCTAATGAACATAATAATTGATAAATATTACAATAATTATTTTTATTAAATTAGATAATAAAACGTCCATCAGACAACCCCGGGTTAGGGATGGAGGAAAAGCACTAATTAACAAATGTTAAATATTTTAGGCAGGTCAGTCTTTCTCCGAGTCGCTGGACGACGACGTCACTGGAAAGAGACAAAGATAAATTTCATTAAGAGTTCAGAAAATGTGAGAATTTTTGTGAAGTTATGTCAGAAATGGATAAGCTAACACACAAACAGTGGTAAACTGATAACCTATGTATATAAACAGGTTACACACCACCACTAGTGTGAAATGTTTATACCATACATGTCAAACATGCTATCTCTTCATGTAAACTTTTCTATAAACAGTAAATTGTCGACGACTCCATCATTTAGACATTGTTATCCCAATTAAAAGCTCTTCACACACAATTTGATCCAAAAATTACAGTTAGAGAAACGTTTGTAAACACAGGGATTGCTTAAGCCAAACAGAACTTTATTGACACGATGAGCCTACCTGTAGCGGTTGGTTTGGATGCCGGTCGGGTTCGTGCTGCTTTTAATCCGTTCTTATCACTAATTGCCAGGTTCAATGCTGTCTCCGAGTTTGATTTCCGGTATGGTAATTGTTCTAAGGTCTCACTGTAGCGTTTTAGCTGATCTTGATTTTTAAGTTCCTGTGATGTAACGTTGCCGTTTCGTAATTGCGCATGATACACACTAAGGGACTGAAGCAGAGGATTAGTGTGGATAGATACCCTGGAATGTTCTCCAAATGTTTTGTCTTTATTCATTATTTCATCGATAGACCAAATTTTTGGTCTCGAATTTGATTGCGCCGAGTTACTTTGATCACGTGATTCTGATTGTCCAACAGATGCCTGCTGTAGCCTGACGTCAGCAGATGCATTGTTTTCTTCCTTTTGATTGGCTGGTGACTGTGCGGCGTTAGGATTCAACCGTTGTTTATACTCCCGGTTTTCATCTTCCTCATCATCTGAGAAATCCGAGATGTCTGATGTCACCTTAACATCTGCATCTTCGTCGCAATCATTGTCTAATTTTGTGATGATGCTTGATGATGTAGAACCAATTCTAGGTTTTTCTGTAAAAAAAAAAAAATTTAACCTTAAGACATTTTCAGAATGCATCGGACGATAATAAGGACTGTGTATTGCGATTTTCAAATATTCACCAATACTATAATTTTGACTTCGTTTTAAAAACTGGACAATTTTTAAGTCCAGAGATGTGGGGGTATTATTCAGTAGAAATATAATCATAGCTGTTGGAACCTTTTGCGAAAGAAATGCAGATGTGTCAAAATCAATCACTGTCTTCATCTAGCCGACATTATTAATGTACCAGAATTGGCGCCACTGCAGATCAGATTTAAAGTGATGCAATATATTTCCATTAAATTATGATTGAATTTGATATAGGCATGTTGTACATCCACTCTTTATTCACAAGAACGCGTTCGGTCGTGGAGAATCTGGTGTTACTCTTTGTCCGTAGTATGGTATGACACGAACATTATTAAACGGCATCAAATGATATCAAAAAGAGGGGATGAACTCGCGTAATCTTATATTTCTGTACGGGCTATCTGATGTAAAATACGAAACCTAATCCGGTGAAAACCGAAACCCGGCAATTTCGCTCATTTGTACGACCGCCGTTCCATTTCCAGATTTTATCTTCTTTTGGTCCATACAATGCGGTTATTAAAGTTTCGTTTTAGAAGATGAAATGTGTTAAATGGGATATAAAACGGATCATTTTAACTATAAACAAGGAAAACAGACGAGTTGATTAGGTGAAGCTCTCTTTTTTCTCGACGAGACGCAATATTTCCCCTTAGATGATAGAAGGGCACAAATGAACAATCTGCGATCTGTAGTAATTATTACCGACACAAAAGAGTGAAAACATTTAATCATTGGTGTCATATGGTACTGACGCAAAACATCATGTGTTTTGGAGGGCGTATATAAAAGTATTATGTAACTCTATGACAAGACATATATTTCATATCCAAAGGATTCAAAAAGGAATTAGACACCAGGTATCAACACACAAAACAAATTTTGTCCTCGACAATTCTCAAATATCCAATTAACATTAGTCAAGATGAGAACCGTTTTATCACATCAACTTTAATAGTCAGGGATTATCTCCCTTCAATGATTATGTGAAAAGTTCATATTTTACATGAAAAGGTTTGTGTAAGCGGTTTAGGTTTACTTATTTTAACAACAATTTATTTTTTGAATACAAAAAAGCCCTTGGAGGGCGGACCACAAACAGCAATATGACTCTGAAGGATGGGGATGCGTTAAATGTTATATTTACCTACAATAAATAATGGTCTGTCGAGGAAATAATGACAGCTGAAATGACATCTCATCTCGATATTATGCATAGGTATAACCTCTAAAAGATACTTATCGCATAATTTGTTGAAATATCATCCGTCCTAAGATTAATACAGACTATAAAATGTGTGGCTGGGGACATCGAATTGCAACATCTCTTGTACAATAATGTCTGTTTTGAGGGGCGATAAGATCACTTGTCAGCCCTGTTTAGTGGATGTATGAGCCATATAAGGCTGCTCACATCAGGTTTTTGTATAGAGTTTCATCTGCGGGCTGTGTTTGGGAAGTTTATGAAATTAATTTAGATTTATAGAAGGTTAATGGTTCATAATAAAAACCACACATAGCAAAGAACAAGCTTTGTAAAGATAGAATGAATTTGATATACGATGAAATTTAGCGGCAATATCAATTTATATATGGTTTTTTAAATAAATAAAAATAAATTCAGACCCTTTCCCAAAATGGTAAAAAGAACACAGGAGATGAAGTCTGCTTATACATTTTACCACAGAAACACTTTGACGGAACGTTATTAAATCATGATAAATCATAAATAAGCATTGAGCTTGTTGCATGCAATATTCTTATGAAATTAGGCGGGTTTTTTTTATATATCTTGATAAGAACAAAACATGCAATTTAGTATATTTTCCTGATATAGTATTAAGAATATGTTCTGCTGAGATTACTTGCATTAAACTTTTTAATTTGGTATTTTAATTGGATGTATTCATTATTTAAAACAAAATATGAAAGAGAATTTTTGAGATATAAGGCATTGAAAATTTGGCGGGAAACCAGACTTCTTGTGATTTTTCATAGACATTGAATGAAAAATTTCATTCTCTGAAAACTTATGATCTGGAATTAAACTTTTCTTTTTATTTTGGAGAGGATTATCAAAAAAAATACAACAAAGAATCAAAATGTGAATAGATAATAAGGGTAAAAATAATATGATTATTTTGATGGATAAAACCAGAGGAGTTCTGTAACAATGACTGACACCTCAACGTAATCGGTAGAATACATCCTTAAATGACGTTTTCTTCATGTAAAAGTTCTGATCACAAATAAACCAAAGTTAACTGAAGATATATACACAGTTAATAGTTTCTCATAGAAAAATTTAACGAGAAGTTTCGGAGACAAATATTTCATTAACGGATGAACTACTAATATAGCATACCTGACGTAGCTCATTGGGTTGTGTAGTCCTTTGCAAGGTTTTCTTTTATGTAATCATAATGTGTAAGACTAGCAACTACATATACTTACCATCGTCCGTTCCAAGAGGCGAGCCTATGGATTCTACGTCACTTCCGTCCAAATCTTTATCTTTGTAACCCAGTTTGCTCTCCTTCTTTAGCCTCCTTCTGGCGTTAGCGAACCATGTGGACACCTGTGTCAAGGTCATTTTGGTGATGATGGCAAGCATGATTTTCTCGCCTTTGGTGGGATATGGGTTCTTCCGGTGTTCGTACAGCCACGCCTTTAGTGCGCTTGTTGTCTCCCTCGTTGCATTTTTTCGGCGAGCGGCATTGTTCAGATCAAGCCCCCCATAGCTGAAAAAAAAATAATTGAATTTGTTTATTATATTTTTTTCGTTTGCAATCAGGAGAATAATCTTTCTGCATAACGTAGTCATATATAAGAGTTTCTTATTTGAATTTCTGACCCTTTTATTTCAGTTATTAGGACTTGTTAACCTTTTTTTCTGTATCAACAGAACATCGCACATATGGTGTTTGTGAATTGATATGAATCTAAATAACATTTTGTATCAGAACTTGTAAATGTTCTATATATAATGTTGATATATTTGCGTATACTTGTCTAATTTATTATTACAAATGGAAATCGCATTACTAGCATTACTAGTAATTTTAAAATGCTCACATGCTCTTTACTTTGTCACATTAGTAATGGAAAATGATGTTGACTTTGGGTCGTCATTATTTTTTATGAAAACCATTTTTTTCTGATATTTTTCAATATCTTGCAATTGAAAAGTAGCTGTGATGATAGAAAGATGACTAGGACTATCAAAAATAATTGTTAATCCAAAAAAAGAGCGTTTCCGGTATTTTTTTTTTTTATTTATTTATTTATTTATTATTTATTTTTTCTTATTTATTTATTTATTTTTTTTTTTTGTTTCCTTAAAAAATACATGGATGTAATTCGTAAATATCGACATGTCCTAGTACGCCAATTTACGGACGAAAATATGCCTTTGAAGTTCATGCTTATCACCACTTCATCTAGACAATTTAATTAGAATGAAATATTCTATTTCGAATCGGCTTAGGATTTCGGGATCATACCCGACTGTGTTCTGCACGTTTATTTTAATATTTACAAAAGTAGACCTATATTATGAAGTAAAAAAAATAAAATGATAAAGAATACTATTTATTGGGGGAAATGCCTTTAGTAAATAAATCTTGAATTTCAGTATTGAGAAAATTTTATGTGACAGGATTTTTTGTCTTAATTCAGATCAGTAACATATCAAAACGTATTCTTAAAATTACATAAATAACAAAGTGTATCCTATCCTATTTAAATTATATTTTTTTCATCTGTATTTATAAAATATAAACAATATCTGAAAAATCCTTTATAAAATAAAATGGATATTAGGTCAATTAAAAATGCACCATTTATAAATAAGACGTCATAACTGCTTTTTTAATTCAGTATTTATTACCTAAGAGATTTTACAGTATAATTATCGAAATAAACAGGTGATAAAACAAGAAAGCATGTGCATTTTAAAAAAATTGTGGTTTTTGTTTCCCCTAATTTCTGTCTAGTTTTAATGAGGAAACTGGTGCATATTTTAATACATTGTTTAGACATTGATGCTGAATATCAGTAACCTACAATGCTCCGTATGGATGCATGCCTACTAAATATCAGTAACTTTCAATGCTTAGTATGGAAGAATGCCTAGTGAACATCCGTAACTTACAATGCTCCATATGGATGCATGTCTAATGTATATCAGTAACTGAAAATGTTCCGTATGGATTCATGCCAAATGAATAACAGTAACTTACAATGCTCCGTATGGATGCATGCCTAGCATAGGGTCCACGGGATACACCATGGAGGGATGTTGTAGGTTCTTCCAGAATTCTGGGGCTCTGTCTAAACCCAACGCTGGAGTAGCCCCTCCCTGAATAATCAGAGAAATTTAAAAAACATTTTTAGGAAACAAAAATTATATTAACTTTTTTTTTCAATCTAGAAAATTAAAGAAAAGAAGAAATAGCAAGTTTACAATGGAAACAGTCTTAAAACACTCTCCCAGATAGTTAAAACCCCATCAATATTTGGTGAAACTCTATAGGCATTGTGGTTTTTTCGATAGCATTCTTACATGGTTAAAAACTGTCATAAAATATAGGTGGCATTCATTTGGAAATAATTATACGTCATTTTTTGCAACTTTAACTATCTGTTTCTTTTGGGATCAGGAAAAACAAGCTGGCCAAATGTTCCAAGTGAGAAAAGCACTCTGAAAAGCGCTAATTTGTTGAAAGTTTGGACAACAAATGGTATTTTGATATACCTTTGAACAAAAATAATGAATAACTTGCACTGGAGCGAAAAACGTGAAAGAGGATACTTGATACTGGTATTTACTTCGAAAAAAAAAAAAATCGGTCGAAACACATCACCCTCCGCGACAGAAAAAAGTAGAAACTCCTGAAGATTAGCGGACACAAAGAGTGATAAATCAGACAAACTCATAATTGAATATCTCCAAAGCTTTTGACCAAGATCTGATTCCACATGCCGGGCTCCTAATCTGATACCATTGAAATTTAATTTTATAAGTGTGAAAATTGAAACTGACCAGCGGGTAAAACGCCGAGGGTTCCACACCTAATGCGTTCGGGGTCATCGGGCTGGTAGTGTACAAAGACTCGCCAAGGTTCCCGATGCGGGTGAGGTATGGAATTGCCATTCCTGTAGGAAAAGGAGCGTCGTGGAGAATCGCTCTCCCGGGATCCGTGCACACCGGCGCGGGCAGGCTTGTTTTGGTTGGAATGCTAAGCTGAAGAAAAATGAAGTAAAAATATATTTTCCATCTTATTTCCACTACATGAATATTTTTATTTATTTCCTCAAAACAATGTTTCTTCATTTTAATGTTTATTAATATTTCTTGTTTATTTAAAAAGTTTCAATTTATCAATTCAATTGCTCATTTATACTTTATTTCCCTCTCTTTTTTTCCCTCTTATGAGGATAATACATAGTACTGTAACACATACAATTATAAATATATAAATATAGATACATAATACAAAATTATATTATGTAATTTACATAAGAAAAGAGGGGGGATAATACATTTTTCTAATATGGTTTATATTTCATTTAAAAAGAATGAAAGTATATATATATATATTTTTAAATATTATTATTCACACAATTTATACACCTGTATAATCCAAATACACAAAAAGTTCAGAAAATATTTTTTTTTAAAAATATATAATGGAAATTTTAAAAAAAAAATGTATAAAATTAAAGTTACCTGTGAGGATGGGATGGCAGATAATTGAGGCGACAAGTGAGACATCTTACAGGCAGACAAATAGTTTTCGTTCTGTTTCACTCGACTTTTACCATTTCAAATTCCGGGTATTGCCTGTCTGAATATGTGACTTTTACCTTCCATGCACCTAGCAATTATGGTCAGGTGGAGTCTGTAAAACTGACACTACCAGAAAAACTTTGTCTAATAAGTATCAACACATTGACCAAACAAAATAAATAATAACGCGGTAAAGGTATCACTGATAACGACCGTCTTGTGAGTCTGTTGACAGGTGACTCCGCCCACCTTTAAGAGCGGGTGGATGACGACCAAACGATGGGCTGTAAAGTTTGGTATAGTGGAACATCCGCGAAAAAGACTGACAGATTTAGTGGCTAAAGATCGCTTAAACTGTTTGATAAAATTAACAGCTGTCTTTTTTGTAGGGGTACGAGGTAGATATTGGCATATTATTAATCAATTATATCCCGAAGCCAGTCATGCTTGTCTAATTGAAATCACTGTTACCTGGTTGTAGAATTTAAATTTTCTGGCTATCGCTCTTGTATCGATTGTAGCCCTGCAGCATAGCCGTGTCAAAATCCGGCGAACAAAACTAAGGATACGGTCCAATCGAGTGGAACCAATACCCCCTCATAATTCTAGATTAGCAGTGGTCAGTTACATCTGATAAGAAAAGGTGACCACTGGCCCAAATACAACAGCAATCATACTGCCAGATCTATAAATAATGAGTTAATTTTGTCTTACGCATGTAAACTGAATGGAAGGTGTTAGAGATGCAATGATAGGCGTAGCCGGGCTCAAACAACTGATGTAACGCTGATAATGAAGGCGATCAGGACGCTGATGAATTACGTATCTACAGAGTTTTGTCATTTCTCTAACGATTTTCAATACGGACACCATTATTTAAAGTTTGACACGTGTAATAAAATAAATTAAAACCGATGGACATGTCCTTCTTGTTAAGTAAAATTACACATGTTGATTAGAATTTTATACATGTGTCTGCATTATATATTTATTGAAACCATTTTCTTGGCATTTGACATTCTAGAGAATGTACATTCAACTCTTAATTTAAAAGTTTAAGCATTTAAGATTCATAATTAACTAGAAAATAAATTCCGATGGTCAACTATATCTTATATTTGATTATTCACTAAATTTATTTATGTACACCAGAAATGTAATTTTGTTATTTGAATAAAAAGTTGCCTAGATTATTAACTGATTTCTGATTAGCTAATGGTAGATGACTGATACCTACAGGGTGTCGTCAGAATATTTTCCAGTTAGTGGATTATTTAAAATCTGCCAAACAGACCATAAATCTTAAATAAATCCTAATTTCCTCGTTGACACTGCTCTATTGATTTCTTGATAAAATTGTCCACAAGCACAAAAATTTAAACAAATATACAGATAGCCAAGATTAGAATAACGGTGTTAACATATACGTGGACATTGTCAGTATGTTAGAAAATCTTTAGTTAACTATAATTTTGTTTGTTTGTTTGTTTATTTGTTTGGGTTTTTTTCCAGAATAAAACTATTATTTATTTTATTCGTATTCTATACGTATTACTTGTTACTAACCAGTGCTTTGCAGATCGAAACCAGTTTTGTTCCAATGAAATATTTTTTTTATGTAATGTAATGGTTTTCCCAATAATATTCGTTTATTGTTCTAGATCCAAACTTATTTCAGAAGTTGCATTTCTGGAATTTTATTACTTTTAATATTTATTATTAGAGCATAATCGTTACTGAGCAAACAATAAGTTATTCCTGAACTCTGCTCCATATTTTTTTATAACAAGAAAAAAAACTTTATAAGGTACAAAGGTATTATACAAATAAATATTTAAAAAAGAAAAGGTCGCGATATTTTCATCTTTCTTGGACAGAATTAATATTTGTGGATTCTATCGCTACCTAAAAAAAAAATTTAATTTCCATCTCATACTTTTAAAGAGGGATAAAAATAAATGTTTGGTAAAATTTTGGTTGATTTTGTTTTTATTTTTATAATTATTTTAAAGGAAATCAGTAGATTTTGTAAAATAGTTTTGACTACGCATTAAGTTTTAATATATATATAGAGAGAGAGAGAGAGAGAGAGAGAGAGAGAGAGGAATTTTGTTGTGCCGTGGCATTTTCCATAGAACTTTTCAAAAGATTCTTTGCTCAATTTTGCTTGATAAATCATATTCTATTCGTTTCAACATTAATGAAAACTATAATTCTGTATATGATTTTCTAAATGCTGAAAAAGACCAATACATTTATCTAACTAATGATATTTAACAATTCAGAGGTTTCAGAATAAAAAAAAATGTTATTCCATTTTTGTAAAAGAAACCATCGTGATTTATTTATTTATTTATTTATTTATTCTGATTTTTTCCCCTGTTATTGGGATTTTTTGTAGAAATTTAGAATAAGAAAAAAATGTGAATATTTTTTTTTTCAGTTCAAATTATAGAAAATTTTAGGTTTTAATTTATTTGCTTCAACTAAAATCTTTACAAGTTGACGCCCCACTACCTGGCCTCAAGACCACAAAATCTGAGAACAAGTCAATTTTTCAAACTAGTATAACTTTTGAAAATTTTTGAGCGTAAAACAAAATTTTCAGACTGTGTTTATATGTGAATATTATACAAACATTCAACTTTTGAAACGTTTGTTAGATAAAAATCAAGATATTCAAATTCTAAATTTTGACATAAGTTCTCAGTTTATGGTCATGGGGCCTGGTCAAGTGTAGGTTTCTTATGAAAAAGGGAGATCCTATGGATCTTTCATATCCTAATAGCAATTAAATTATAATACATTGTTTTAAAAGTGTCATGGGATGTTTTTAAAAATTATCATTTACCAAGTGTACAAAAAAAATCTTTATTTCATTAATATGATCAGAGAGAATGAGTCATCTAAAATTTTCTGTGCAAAAGGGCTTTTTAGAAAGGGGGGGGCGGGACTAAGGTAGCTAAGTAGAAATTTAAGGTGATTTCAGATTTTGGCTCATCTAAATGTCTAAAACTCTCCACCTACATCTATTGGACTATAGGAAAAATGTAAGTACATGAAATTAATTCAATTTCGTTGAGGTACCCCAGTCACAAACACACACACACAAACAATAGTCGAAAAAAAATACATGAGTGCTTTGCCTAAAAAGTCTTAGAATCTATTAGCAGGATGAGTGCTTTACCAAAAATGCAAACTTTCAGAAGATATGCTTCTTCATGTTTGAGACATAATTTGTTACATTTACATTATGACCCCTGAGGCGAGGCCTCTGCTTGTGGACTGTTAGTCCCCGAGGGTCTCTGCAGCCCAGTAGCTTCGGTACTAACTTGAAAATACGGATATATATTTCATTGCTGTGGTAAAATTTTGAAATTTATTTCAAAATTAAGGATTATCTCCCTCATGCATAGCTCTGATACTTCGACATATTTGGCTCCAGTCTGTCGCACCTTTTTTCAGCTCTTGAAAGTATTTTCGATTCAAATATTTCGGATTTCCAACGTTTCGGCATGAGCATCACTGAAGAGACATACTTTGTCGAAATGCGCATCTAGTGCATCAAAAGTGATACCGTATATAATATACATTACACACTGGGAAAAGGTCACCAAGGTCTTTTTTCATTATTATTTAACAATTTCTACATGTAATATACACAGTCCTCCGTGATGATTTCTAATTACAGCATGAGAATGACTCGTAACTAAATCGCTTTCATGTTGGGTAGTTGACGGATTAACATTGTAGTGTTTGTTTTCGTTCGGCGCGTTTCTTCCCTTAAACTCGAAAAGTAAATATTGTGAAACCAAAACGGATTTAACATAAAAATACATTCGTTTTGAAAGTTTATCAATTTCATCAAAACTTAAATCAGTATAGAAGTCCCGTTGGTCTGTAATTAATTCTCTTGTATTGGAAAGTTCTTCAGGTAATCATTTGCCTGCAAACAAAATAGGCTCCGTGTAGAAGCGTATTTACTCGACTACCCGTAATATTGGTAATTGTATTCCCGGTTTGGCAGGGCCTCGCTGAAGTGGGATCCTTCGCAGCACATTTCGACTGCTTCAGAAATATAAACTTGCTTGTCAGTGGACAATTTATCATTTAAAACGTCCAAACATCCCACAATGTTTGGTACGTGATATTAGTTGGAGAGCGACCGTGAACGACCCCTGTGTACACTTGTACATACATAGAGTTACTGGTGTCGCTGGTTCTTTATCACATCAAGATCTCTTCCTATCACATACTCTAGGCTGACATAGTCAACAAAAAGAACACACATTTGACAAGGAGTCCTGTTTTCTGATAACAACTTTTGAACAACAAATATTTCTGAAAACGTGTTTCTACTGATGTCTCCATGTATAAATTTTGTTGCTTTCATAGGACTTCAATAGAAAAAAAAGCAGGAATCCAAGAGCCCTACTCCACCCCTATTAAGAAGATGAAAAATTGTATTTTATGTTCGATTTTTCAAAAGTAATTTTATACAGATCGATTTTGAATCTACAAAGTTATCTACAATGGGATTCAAGAGATATTTCAAACCTACAGGTTTCATTTTTTATAAATATATCTCAAAGGATTAAAAATATTTTTTAAAAAAAACCTTATAGCGAAGAATTCAAATGAATGGATTTTCATATTCATGTACAAGCATTTTGTATGTTGGAAATGCACAGAAAAAAATTCCACGGTTTATTTGTATACCTTCAACCTCCAACTCGTTGGTGACGGCCAGTAGCGGGATTTTAGGTTAAAGCTCTTTAGAGTTCTATTTGTAGAATAAATTGTACCATTCCTAACCCAGTCTTTGATGAAGAGACATTGTTATGCGTGTAACGAACAAGTCGTTTTGCTTAAAACATATTATTACAAGAATACTCTTATCTATCATACAAAGCCCCTCTTTGATTCTGGTTTAAAATTATGTAAATTATTCGTTCTCCTAGCATACGGAAAACCGAAACACAATGTCACAATTCGACAAAACGACCGAAAAAACTGTGTCTGCGCAAGTTTTATTTCAATCGCAACATAATTTTAAATGCTAATTTTAGAAATCCGATACATATTACTGAAATCAGGATACCACGGTATAAACTTGTTATAATGGCTTGCCGTTGTGGTACATCGTTCTATGTAATTACACGTTAACTCTTCAATTTCACATAATTATCATTCACATTCTCAACACGAGTTGCCAAATTTTAA